CAGTTCATGAAATCGCATGAATGAAGTTCAGAAAGCTTAACATTTAACATTTAACATGCTAATTATCGCTCCTGTGGGCTTTTTTGTTTGTTTGTTGTTGTTGTTTTTTTGCAGTTTTGGAGCATTGCACAGTGGGCTTGGGGTGTCTGTCATCTCAACTCCTTAGAGGACTATGCCATTGCGTTTCAAACTTGCCTCTCTGACTTTGTCTCCAAACCTCTGATATATTCATTCTAATTATGTCAATCCTGTTCACTCCAAATCAAACCTTAGCATCTTCAGTTCAGCCTCCTGCCTTTTCATGGAACCAGCTCTAAGCCGTTCATCAAAGCAGGTCTCACAACCATCTTGTAGAACTATCATCTCACTCCTGCTGCTACCGTTCTTTCACAACTCACCCCTGAAATCCTGCCTGCACTCTCTTCTTCATTTCTCTTGTTCACCATCCATTACTTTGTTCCAGTCTTTAAACTTTTGGGTACTTTTTACCTCTGTTTCATGCAGCTTCCCTGTTACACCAGTCTCCCTCTCATTCATATACACATATTAAATAAAAGTTTTTCTCGTCAGCCTTTAGTTGTAAAGAATAAAAATATTAACAAATTTTGTTTCACTCACCTGTTGATTCAGCAATTAGGAAGAAACACGGGAGGACCCTGAGAAAAGCCATGTGTGACAACAGATTACACTGAAGTGCCTGCAGACTAAACAAAAACTTTTTTTTTTTTTTCAGTCAACTGAAACCTTTTATGTTGAGAGGAAGGGGGGTGGTTTAAAGGAAATGAGTATTATTCTGATAGGCAAAAGAAAGGGAAAGTTAGCTATAGCACGCCTTTTACACAGTTTCTTACAAGCTTCCCCTTTACTATTAAGCATTTGCCAGAACAAAGTAAAAAAAACAAACAAAAACCTGGTTCACAAAGTTTCAGTGCAAACTGCGAGTCAATAAAGAATACATATAAAAAAAGATAAAACCATTTATTCTGTGGTGTCACCAAATTACCTTTACACAGTGAAATAAATCTGTCTCTGATTCACATGACAGTGTGGTCCATCTTCTTAGTTTCACACTGTGAAACCTTGACAATTTTAGTTTTCGAATGACCTGATGAAAATTTACATCTTTACAGCACTAAAAGCTAAAATGTCTTAGCATTGACTTTTAGATAAACATAATTATTTCAGATGAAACAAATTCAAGGAAAACCAGCAGAGTTAACCAGCAAATGTTAACTCCTGGGCATTTCTCCCAATTGTCACCTCTAACAATGTCGTTGGGCTGGGACACATCCTTCACTGATGACTCACTCTATTAATCCCAGAACATCTTCGTGTGGTGGAGCAGCAGTAGAAATGTCTCCCTACCAGCGATGGGAATAATGGCGTTACAAGATGTTACCTGCAACACCAAATGTTTTTTAACTGAAATATCAGCACCTGACTTCCACTGGGCCGGTGTGAGCTCTCCAGCCTGCCTGTGTACATGTGGCTGACAGTTCTGCATACCTTTCCCTCTTTCTCTCATGAGAAGCCTCTGTCTGCTTTTCTTATGGGATAGTCAGCTCCACCATAACTATTCTGTCAGTGACTGGCCATGTTTGGGTTCAAGGATAACATTGTGATCCCCACAAGGAATTTCAGCTGGCAATCAAGTTTGACTGCCAGCTGTCAAACTCCTCCAAGTGACAGGAGAGACCATTGCATCTTGGAAAGTGACTATGCCCTTTCTAGAAAAAGCCACGAAAGCAGTGTGATTTTTTACATCATGCAAGTTGTTTGGGAACTTTATGTAAAATTATTCCTAAGAGATCATCTTACCTGACCACTTGTTTAAGATGTTTTAACATACCAATCATCTTTTTCCAGTTTACAGCTTTTTGAATTTAAGAGTGTTAAACTCTGAGTCTATTAGAACATTATTTTGACACAGAAGGAATCCCAAGTAGAAAATGATCCTGGTGTCCAAGTGAATGGGACAAATTTTCGTCCCTATGAAAGAATTAGCTTTGTGCAACTGCCTGTCCCACAGGGTGATGTGGGCCCTTAACATGCTCCCTTGTTTGTAGAGTGAAAATGTGGAAGCTTCGTGTTAATATTTCTACACTTACGAAGCTACCTGGGAAACAAAAATAAGGAGAAATAAAAAGCTGAATATTTCAGACATATATTTCAAATCTCTGTATATGAAGGTAAATGTTTTTCCATGGCTCCATTAAATACACTGGTTACTGACCCCCCCGAAAAAACAAAACAAAAACAAAAACAAGAAAACAACAACAACAGTCAATTCATCAGTTACACTGTTTGATATAAGAAGTGTTTTTTCAAACAATATTTATTTCTATTATTCTTTGCGTTTATTGCCTTCACTTTTGTTTTGATAGGATCACAAAGGCGCTGTCATCTCGTGCCTTCAAACTGACGGTGGTCTAAGTAGAAATGAGTAAAGAGGGCTCACATTTGTTTAGTGTGTGGGTGTAAGCTTCAAAGACCACCCATGCATGCATGCAACACCTCACTAGCGTTTAGTGCCAGACATTTAAAGAAAGGAAACAAAGGGGGAAGGGGGCTCACTTCACTTGCTGCATTTATTTTTTTTGTGTGTGTATCAGCTTGTCACCTCCATAGTTTCACTATTTCTTCTACATTAAACTCTGTAGGGGAGGATGCTGCATTGAGAGACTTCACTACAATCCAATGTCAGTGATGAAAATGAACGAATGGGCTGCTTTACAGGCGATTTGCAGCGGCCCTTCAATTGACCCATCGGCCCAAAAATAGGTCGTCCCACCGGGAAGATGTCCATTATGCCAGATTACCAATACAGCTCTCCGCTGTAAGCTTTAATGTTTAAATTGATCCTGCTTAAATATTCAGAGTTTCAATTTGCAGCTGTCTCCTTAGAAATAAACGGAGCACTGAGAGTGTAGTCAGGTTAACTTGATTAATATTTACCGTTTTTTTGTTTTTTAATCACCATTTGATCATCGCTTGCAGAATATCTCTTTATGTGCACACAGAGCCTAAAGCAGTGAACCTGGTTTAACAGAAAGCTCATCACCACCTTACTTATTCATGTGATAAGTAAGGTAAGTGTTAGGTAAGCTAACATGAACACAACCTTTTCCACCTCTTTAAAAAATATTTTATTCTTGTAAGCATATTTTATTTAAGTTGCTCATTTTTATTTTTTGTACATCAAAAACAAATCTGAATATCTAAAAGCCGAGGTAGAAAAAAAAAGCCTCCCTCCCTAATATTCACCTTTACTCATTGAATAGAGGAACCATTTTCCTCTCTTATTGTCAACTCAGCAAATGTGTGTCAGTACTGTCTCTGCAGTATAATAAATATACTTATTTCAAATATTTGAATTCCACAACAGGCACTCTTTTACACCATTTAATGATTTATTTATTATGCGGTGTGCAGATAATAGCAGAAAATAAAACCATCTGGTGCTCAGTATACTTGTTTTTCAAAGCAGCAGTTGACAAGAGGACAAAAACTTCACAGTTCAGTAATGCTAAGTAACACTTGATTTTACAGTGTAGAGAAACATTGTACTTTGTACATTGTACTCATGATAATTTGCATAATAATGTTTCATGGCAAACTGAACAATCAAACTCCAAATAAACACACTGATGACATACAACACAAAAACAAGGAGTTATCAGAAACTCAACATCCCTATAATCAAAATGATCTGAATAATCATAGTTTCAGTTTCTCAGAGTATGAGAAGTGTGTATCAAGAAGCGATGTCGAGCTCATTTTAATTAAATATCCACAAATGGAGAGCAAAAATCAAAAGGAATAAATGTAATTAATCTAATAATAATGATAATATCAATAACACCACCACCGCTATGCCATTTTTATTATTATTAATAATAATTAATTATTATTTATTATTATTATTGCCATTTTGATAATAAATTAATAATAAGCCTGTCAAGCCTCTCCTAAAAAAAACTGTGTAAAACTGTATTTTATTCAAATATGTAAAAATCACAGTTAAAAAAAAAAAAAAAATCAGCTTACAAATAAAAAAAAAAAAACACCAAATATTTTAAAGTCATTGGCTTCTTTACATATGCATTGATATTGTACGTGTGCAGATCAGACTGTGTGGTATAAATAAGCGCGAGAGGTAAAATTTTATCATATGTTCAGCAACACACAAGAACATACACATGGATGTAAAGTATTGATGCGTATTCAGAAGTAATTCAGGTCAGTAAGATCTGTTTAGTCTCAGCTCACAACACCTAATAATAAAAACACTAAACTAAGAGAAAGGGCTCCAAAAGATCAGATCAGCCCCTTCGAGCAGCACTTGGTTGAAGTGGGGAGAAACCTCCATCACACCCAAGCTAAAAAAGACATACTTCTACTTTTGATTAGAAAAAGTAAACTGTGAATGGATGTTAATGGATGTTTGTCATTACCTTATGAGTGAACTAAGTGTAGCGATCCAAAAATGTGACATTATTGATGGCTAGTCAGTGTTGCTGACTAGCCACTGTTAAAAGCCAGCAATGAGGGAAAGGACAGCCACAGAACAATCAGTAAGTATCACCTTGACATCCTTATGTTC